GGATCTCAATATAGTAATAAATGGGTAAAATGTAATGGTCTTAACAAACAGGAGTCAAACTAAGAGATCTGTTGGTTCATCCTGGCCTTAAATTATCTGAATCTGTGAAATTTCTTAGACAGCTTTGACTTCCTCATCCTAGATTTCATATTGCTTCTTTCTGCATTCGGTTTAATGTTTTAAATTCATGCCTGAAGGCCAGAGGTGCTTTTTTTGTTGTTGTTTAAACACTAACTGGAGGCTGAAAACATTTCTGTGTGTCCAAATCTGGAAAAATGCGGAATGATTATATTACCAAAGGGAGAGAGAAAAAAAAAGAAGGAGGAATACTGTGTACCCAACAAAACAGAGGCAAGAATGCAGGAATGTAAATGTGTTACAGGCTGTTATTAGGATTTTGGATGCAAAAAAAAAAAAAAAAACTAGAAAAGACTGAAGAGTTGAAAACGCATAATACGATCCAATTTATTTAGACTAGACATTGCCTTCCCTAGATTGCTAAGGTGACAAGAAAAAACTATGAAAAGAAGGTAATCATACTTGTTTTAAGTCTGGCAGTTTCCACTGAAATGCCTGTCTCTCTATAACAGTTTTTTTGAAGAAAGTGCCTTGGGGAATTACTAGAAAAATGAGCTTTATTAAGTGTTCATGGCCATCTGAACTACCCACCCATCCAGTATAAATGTGTTCTGGCAAAACAAGTGTTTGCGTTGCCATGGCCTTTCTCATGATGTTATTTTCTTAAGCAAAAGCATTTTTCTAGCTGAGATCTTAACAAGGACACAGGCAGGGCGCCATGATTCAGTCCTTGAAGAGAAAAATAATGATTTGAAGGGAATGGTGAAGGAAAGAGATGGTCTCAGAGGGGGCAGAACAGAGGACTTAGATATCTGGTGACTCTTTTGCCCAACAGAAGCAGTGATCCCTTCCACTAATTACTCCAGTTATGTGGGAGAGTAGTGCAGCCTCCATCAGCCCTGCAGAAATGCTGATAGGCCCAGTGCTAATGTTCTCCTGTAGCATCCTCAGTATAGGGAAAACTCTCTTAAAAATAGCAGCTCAATTGTTATTTGCTGAGCAAATCACATGCCTCGGATACAGGCTTCCTCAAATCAGGTCATAGGGCCCTGTGCTGTGCACAGGTACAGGGACTCTACACAAAAATATGTCCCCAAGGTCTACGTGGATCCCTGTGACTTATCTGCAAGATTTGAGCTGTTCTATATACTGCTTTTTTTTATCTTCCTTTGCCGTGCAAAATCACTTAGGGAAAGTCCTGCCGAAGGGTTTCACATTGGTTTCTATCCTCCAGTGAATACTTCTGCAAGTGAAAATAATTGTGAATTTTACATTGTTTACTGATTTATACTCTGGTTTTAGATTAATAACAAAGTGTTTTATCATGAAAACTAGTGAGCTGGTCACATAAGCATTGACCATTATTACATAGTTAGTATACATCACAGCGACTAAAGCAAAACTAACGGGTGCTTACATAAAGTGCATAAAAACAAGGCAAGTATTGAGTCACCCTTTCCCTGCATATCTTCCCAAATTCCAGTAATCATCAGTTTGTGAGGTAGAGGTCATATCTGAATCCTTCTGCTTCCCATCTACCAAGGGGCCACAAATTCCTTTCTGAAGGAATAAAAGACAAAAAGAACAGCAGGACCAAAGGCTGGGGCTTAGCTCTCATAGGGTTTCTATGAGATTTGGGCATTTTCCTTCCTTCAGTTCCTGTGAGATAACTCTTCTCTCTCAGACTGCTTTCATACCCACGTAGCTCCATGAATCACAGCAGAACATTGATCTCACCAGAGAAAATAAAGGGAATAAGGTCCACGAATGCTAAATGTAGGTCCAAATCCAGTTAAGTATCTATTTGTAGGAGAGAAAGCATTACAAAAAAAGAGTAATGAAAAATAAAAATAGAATAGGCCTCTTGGGTCATCTTATCCCCCCCCCAATTAATTTTCTTCATAATACAAAACACATCATGAGATGGTGAGCAGTACCCCTTCTGTTTGAAGCAATGTGGTCCACATTTCACTGATACCTGAACACAACACCATTTCGGCAAACAGATGAATTGCAGAACTATGGCAAAACAAACAAAGCAACATGGAACATTTTATTTACCTTTAAATAAAATTAATTAGCTGGAAACTAAGAGAGCAAATAGCATTTGATAGAAATAACAGAATGTGCTAGAACTTTACTCCAAAAAATGTGTAATGTGTTCCCCTAACTGCTGAGACCCATACAGTCTCATGCTCCTGCGTTGAGATTTCTTTTAGAAATCCCAGGAACAGAGCTCTCCTCAGTCCTCTGGGAAGCAATTCCTCAGCCTACCACTCACAATAAGTTCTTCCTGTTCAACATTTACCTGCCATCTCATTGGTCTTGTTGGAGTATCTTCAATAGCTCTTACTTGTCTTGCATATTCATAACCCAGAAAATCACAAGATATCTAATTTAAAGCTAACAATCCACAGAAAGGAGAACTTGAGCTAAATCCAGCTTGCTTTATGCAACTAATTCCAATAAGTTAAAAGGCTATTTAGGGGAGGGAAGCAAACTTACACCATTACGTAACACGAGTCATATCTTTGTTTTTTTTCTTAATATGACCTTTTGAAAATTAGATTAGAAAGAGAATTCCAAATTAAAATTGAATCAATTAAGTCTCTTGCTCTTGCAATTCAGGAGGGATGTGTCTGATGCATGAGGCAATACTGGAACTGCGTATTGTGGGATGTATCTGACTCATGGTCCTAAGTGGATTTAGTTGTCACAGTGTGATGTAGGGAGTTTGCAAGCTCCATTCAGCAAGAAAAGGATTGACCTAGATAATGATTCTGGAGCAGAAGGCAAGGGAACCAGCTACAGAGGATGACAAGGCTGCCAGGAGAGCAGCAAGAATCACTCAGAATGTAACACCACTTAGAGGGAGGCCTTTCTAAGTTGATGCTGACAGGAATTTGGCAATGTGGAGGAACCAAGAGGGATCTAGAAGCTGGAGATAGGACTATAAATTGAGTTAGTGGTGCTTATCTGCTGTCACAAACAGTGACAGTAATTTATAGGTGTACCTCAGTTGTCACAATTCACCCAGGTTGCTTGTAAAAACTCTTGAAAGATGGCCTATTCACATGCATTTCATCTCTTGGAATTTACAGTCTCTAGAGCAGAAAGTGCTTAATGGAGGTAGTGTTCTCTACTTCAGCTACAGATGGGTGTATTAGTGAGAGCTGCTTCTGGTTTTATCTTTGAAAGGACCAGTCTTCAATTTGAGACTGCTGAAGGAGTGGATATGCATTTAATTCAGCCATTCCTACTACTGAAGCCATAAGCCCCATGGCTGGGTTGGGCCAGTCCATGTGGAATGGCATTGGGAATGGCTACAGTCACTTTTATTGTCTCTGTCTGCAGATGTGAGTAAGCCTCCTTTGAATGTGATCATGGAAGATTAATTCCCATTACTTCAACATCTGAATAGAAAAAGATTAAGATGCATTTATATGTGATGGGAAAATTAAGCTAAATTAGCCTCATGAACAATGAAAGTTTATAAAATAGTCCACCTTCAACAAAACGCTAAAGAACACAATGTAATTACAACTTAGTTCGAAGTATGTACTTTTTTATTATGAAAATTAATAGTACATTTAATTAATATGGAATTATTTGGAATGACATGCTTTACTGAAGAAATAATGATGAATTCCTGAACATTAGAGATAAGTGTTGTGGTTCCTATGATAAAATATTTTTAGCTGGCTAACATATGAAGGCATTTAGAATTGTCCCAGTTTCTTTAATGGAAAATCATTTCTTTCATGAAATACTTTAAAATTATTCTTACATAACTTACAGGGAACTTACTGGGCTTTTATTAAGTTGGAATGTTAATCAAGCACATATATTGCCTAATCTTAAAACAAATAGAAATCAGCAGGTATTTCATAACTTTGCAGTATGTTATGTACTTCCCAATATGCATGTGGGATCAATCAGACACCCAGTTCTAGTCATATTTCCAAATAAGCTATGTGATTCTAAATTTTGATTAAAGAGAGATCCAGAACCTCATTTATTATATAAATGAACAGTAAAATAACTCTTCTGTTTAGAACTTGAGGATGGGCAGTGGGAGATGTGGGTTTTAATTCCTAACCTGCCTTATTAATCATGCAAAACCTGTTAAGAACCAACCATTTCTTTGATGTCTTGATGGTTTGTCTGTCAATTAATTAGCTCTCCTTTAAGGTCTACTATCATGGCCCTACATGGAGATGTAAGTGAGCATAAAGTGTCCCCTTTATTTCTCAGTTGAGCTTAATCCTACAGGTAAGAGAGGTAAAGCAGGCTCTGTAGAACTACAAAGGAGGCTTTGGTTCACTTTCCTCAATCATTTGCTAAGATCATTGCATTAAAGAGACTTTGGTTTCATCTGATGCAGGACAGGAGCAGTTTTCTTAGTTTGGGGACACAGACAACTCCATGCTACTACTTTGTTCAGGGCAGATTACAAAGTGACGATCCAGTTCTAATTGTCGGGGTGGGGGGTGGGGTGTTCCAATCATTAAATAAACTAAGGCTTAACAAAATGTAAAAATCAGATTTAGTCTAAAATCTTAGTTATAGATGGATAAAGACCTTTAAGTTATGCAGTTAAAATGTTGCAAACCTTCTTTATAAAAAGCTTAAAATAATTCTGACCTAGTTCGTGTTTGCATTCAGATACTGCTGTAAGCTGAATTACAATAGTCCAGTTGTATATCTCTTATGTTTTAGATGAGAATGATCTGGTAATGTATTTCACTTTGAATTAGCAATCGAATAGCATAAGTTCAACATTTGTCCACTGCTTTTTAAATGCCAGTGCTAATGTATGTTGTAAATAGTCTAAGAATGACTGTCACCATTGGTCTATCACAGAGGGGTATTAAGTCCTCTGTGGAGATTCATAAACAATATGCTGTTAAGTCCTTGTATAGAAACGAAGACAGCTGATAACACCCCAACAGTGACACAGTGGGATTCAGCACGGTGGGAGTCAGCTTGGAAGTGGAGGCTTTCCCAGTGCCTATGACTTGCTTCTTCCAAAGATTGTCACCTCTGCTGCAGGGACAGTTGAACTGCATGCAAAAATGCTCCCAAATCACCACATTCTATAACATAAGCAGAATCAGTCCTGATTTTATAGTGGAGCGGTTTAGAAATGGCTGGATGGATTATTCCATTTCCCTGTTGTAGGAAGCAAAAAGCAATCATAAAGATAGGCAGCTGAAGGCCACCATCAGTTAAATCTGCCTATGTTTGTGAGTCAACACTTTCACATATTAGAGGGGGCAAATAATACCAAACTTCAAAGGAAAATGCTAACATTTATCAAGGCAACTGGCAATCACTTGTTTGCAGCAAATCAATATAGGTAACCAAAAGTTTCGTTGTATGTTGAACATTGCCTCCAAAACTTTAAAGGGCCAGAGAGCTGGCAAACCTATCTGTATTGGGATGGAATTAATTTTCCCCATAGCAGCCCTCATAGTGCTGTGCTTTGTACTGGTAGCTAGAATTGTGTATTGGTGTGTTGATAACACACCAGTGTTTTGGCTACGGCTGAGCAGTGCTTGCACAGCACCAAGGCTGTCTCCAACATTCCCCCTAACCCCCAAAGGCCAGTATGCTGGGGGAGGGCAAGATCTTGGGAGGGGACATAGCCAGGACAGCTGACCCAAACTGACCAAAGGGATATTGCATACCATATGATGTCTGCTCAGCAATAAAAGCTAAGAGAAAGCAGGGGGGGAGCATTCGTTAGTACGACATTTGTCTTCTGGAGCAACTGCTACGCGTACTGAAGCCCTACTTCCCAGGAAGTGGCTGGACATCGCCTGCTGATGGGAAGTAGAGAATAAATCTTTTTATTTTCCTTTGCTTCTGCACGTGGCCTTTGCTTTTGCTTTATTACACTCCCTTTATCTTGACCCACAAGTTCTTTTCCATCTTATTTTCTCTCCCCCTGTCCTGCTGAGGAGGGGAGTGATAGAGTGGCTTGGTGGGCACCTGGCGGCCAGCCAAGGTCAACCCACCACACTGTTGGACAAATGTTATGGAAATGTTGTGATGAACTTCATTTAAGTTGGATGCATTTTTATCCCTGTAAAGATCACGACATGGCCAAGAAATGGAAGTGTATTCTTGTCCAAATTCTGTGTTTGTCCTCTGTGTCTGAAGGACTGAAGGATGTTTGCCAAACTATTCAGTTGTTGATCAGAAGTTGGAAGAGCTACCAGAATATGCTCCCCTAATACTTATGAATTATATGATTTCATGTATCATGTTGCCAGCTTTTGAAATAGTGCTAAGGTATCGAAATGACTAGTATGATACAGAAATTAACTATTTTGTGAATGTAATCAGTTACTGTGAAGGAGATCAACTACCTTAGAACATTGTGGTTCCTCATTGATGTTACTCAGGAGATGTTTGTGGCAAGTGATGTCTGATTTCAAACTCTTAGAAAGAACTTGAGAATATGGATCACAGATCTCCAACACAGTGGCGGATAGTCATCTGCACTGATAATATGTTTGGGATGAAATCTTGGCTCTGCTGAGGTCAATGCAAGTTTGCAATTGCTGCTTAATAATAAGACCATACAGCTGAATGAGGGTGGTGGTTCTTTGGGGTTTTTTAGTTAATTTTGCCCTAAACCAAATTAGCCATCAAGGTGTTACCAGTTCTGGGAAACAATGAAATCTCTTGTTCTGCTCTCTGGGATTTCCTGTTATTGCATGAATGAAAAACAAAGAAAACGGACTCAGTATCTTGGAACCTTCAGAAAGGGAACTGAGGCCAGTGAAAGTGTCTGCTCCTTTCAGGAGATTTTGGTGTGGTTATGAGTCTTGGAGATTGGTTTGAGTTCCCATTCTATTTAAGAGACAGCAATTATAAAATTAAGCCACTCAAGGTCATGTCAGTGTTGCTAGGCACTAGACAGCCACGCTTCTTGGTGCTGGGCCATTGTGCAGAGCCTGCCTTGGGAGATATCCCAAGGATACCCGCTGAGTATGAAAGGAGCACTCAGCCAAGAAAAGCAGGAAAAAGTTTTCTTCTGAAGTGGGGGAAGGGGTGCTGTTTGTTTTCTGTTTTTAATCCGTAGAAGTCCAAGAAAGGGAACAAAAAAATTAAAGAGTGGGAGGACTGAACTGGAGGGGAGGGGAGTAAAAGTATCTTTTTACATCAAGAATGGCCAGAGCAGACCACTGTTTAAACCTTGGAACTTCATTATTCTTGGTCCAGCTGGCAGTCTGTTAGAAGAGTCCTCCTGACTCCTGGGTATCCAGACAAGTTTGGAGAAATGCAGGTTTTCCCATTTCCACTCTTGCAGGAGTAACAACTTCCTTGCCAGAAGCACTGACTAGGGGAAAGCTACATATCTGCAACTAGAGTAAGGACAGAGAGAACTGGGTTGCTGCTTCAGGACCCCAGAGGGGACTTCTAGTACACAGCCAGGAAGAGTCTGTCAATGTTGGTGCTGAAGGCAGTTAACTGACTGCATTGTGTCTGCATTGACAAAGATTCCCTCAAAATACCATATTAGTCAAAGCCTCTGCTGTAATATACAAGTTAGATTTCCAAAGGTTAACTGCTCTCTGCCAGAAGAAATTGGTTTCTGTCTCATAATTTCCTGCAGAGCTTTCAGAAGCAGGACATAAGCATGTCACCAGAGCCACAGGAAGGGGATGGTTCGTCTTGCCTGGCAGCCCCTGAAAACCCACGTCCTCCCTGATACTTTTTTGCCTAACTGTTTGAAAACATGTCACTGAAAGGTGCTTGCCGGCAATAGACATTTCTCTTTACTGCTTCAGTAAAAATGTCCATCCTGGCAAAATGCGGTGAGACAAACTGCGATGCTGCCTGAAGTAAAGAGTATCAGCCATGGGCTTTTTCCAGTGGCCAGACCAAGGGAAGCAGAGATTACAGCTCTCAAGGTGAAGTGAAGGCTTTGCCTCTTCCCTGCCATAGCTGATCAAGGCTAAAGCATGCCTTGGTATTGCAGCGAGACCAGGAAGTCCTTCTCTCTATTATCTGTGTTCTTTTCAGTGCCTTCTAGTAACCAGAAAGACAGGCAAGGGATCCATCAAATGGCACATGCAGAACAAAAGAGAATCGTGGGGCAGGAAAAGGCACTTTTCTGGAGGAAAACTGAAGATTGTGGGAGAAAAACTGAGCTCCATTTTGTTAATTGTGTTGAATTCAGCAAGGTAAACCATAAGCCTATAACTTTTAAAAATAATATTCTCTGTTGCAATATATAACAGTCTTTATGAACTGTTACTTCTCTCTTACCACTTTGCCTTTCAAGGCATTTTGAATTTTTAAGTCTTCTGTCCAAGTGAGGGCATATCTGCATGCACCACCTAACTTCTCTAACTATGTATATATACATATTTTTTAAGAATTGTATATAGAGGGAAAATAACTAAAATAATAGAAACAGATAGCCCTGGAACCTTAACACAATATTTTTGGTTTCCTTGAAAATTATTTGCAGCTTTGCTGAAGAAAAACTTGAGTTCACAAAGACTACAGATTCCTACAAGAGGTAACAGGAAAAAGATTCTAACTTGATGCATTTCCCATTTTCTTAGACTTCCAACCAGCTTTTTCCAAAGCTAAACAGTAACACCTAAACACTGGCATACACATGCAGATTTCATTTAGAATGTTGAAAGGTCAGTTCTGAGCAACTATGTGCTTTGGAAATCCATTTAGGGGCACAGATACTGTTATTAGACAGTAAACAAATGAAAATGGACATTTATGCCTCTAGCTGAACATTCCACAAACTTATAGAGAAGTCCACACCTAAATGATTTTAATATTAAGTATCGTGATATTCTGGGTTTCCATACATTTTATAACTTCTTAGATACATTTAGTTAATTCTCGTTATTAATAAAAGGCATCTTTAACGAGCTATATCATCTCCTAACTACTTCTTAGATCTTCTAGCTTAGGCACTGTTATACACATTGTATGCTATTATTTGCATTTATTTTTCTGGACAACTTTTATTGCACAAGGAACCTGTGTTGCTGTTCTGTAGAAGTATATACAACACACTATGTTCCCCTACAGACTAATGAATTCCTGGGTCTTTCCCCTGAGAACTGATTTATACCACACGTTCTCTAATCTGTGTTATGTCTGGCCTGTCTCATTCTCCTTGTCTATCTGCTCCCAGTGTCCACTCTTCAGATTTTTGACCCCTCCTAGCTCTTTTTGTTTTGGAGTCTCCATGTTCTCATTTAGAGACTGAGCCCTGGCTGTTTTTAATACAGACAGTCCCAGTTCCCCAACCTCACCCCAGCTGTCAGCACAGACATAGCCAGCCACTCTGCATGGCAATGTAGCAGAGTGGGCATGAACGACATAGAACTGCTTGGCTCAGGGACCAAGGATTGCTTCTTGGAGGAGATGACATAATCCATGAAGGTGTAGCCTTTTCGCATCCACTTGGTTCCCAGACGCCCCAGAGTATCCTTGTTTCCTGTTCTCACCTTAATGTAATTAGTGGCAACTATTTCCTTGCCCAGTGAGTCCTACTACTTTACAAAGTGAGTGTCAGGTAGTAGTAGTACAGGAAAAAAACCCAATCTGTCACCAAGCCCAGGAAGAGTAAAGTTTTGCTAAAAGAGATAACTTATCTTTACAAGTCAGGGAGAGAGATGTCCCCACAAGCTCACAGACTGTGCTGTCATACAGGCTCATCTTACTAATTCTGTAGTTACTTAAATATTTAGTCAAGTGCCGCTGTATTGCAGACTAATATTTCCATTTCTAGGTTATCTGTGTAGCCACATTCTTCACAGGTGGCAGTGAGGCAAGAAAGTAGTTGTAATTTAGCATTTGGAAAGTTGGCATACACTTTTATGTCAGCTTCCCTTTTTAGCTAAATGCTGTTTCAAAAATCTTCCGTGTTAGACGTGGATGAAAATAACTTAGAGATTGGCAGAGCTTTTCAGACAGGAGTCAACAGAAACAAAAATCCTACTCTACCTCTGCACAGTACAAGCAATATTTAAATATTCCAGGCATTTTCACAACAGTTTGAGTTGGAGGAAACCTGGACTGAACATAGACCATAATCTTTCTAATGGCATTTTAAATTTGTTGAGCACATTGGCAGTTAGCCAGTTGTCTGACAATATTACAGGAAAGGGGTTGGGTCAGAATGACCTAGACACATGCAGGAAAACCATTACCTTCTCAAGGCATTCTGCTTGGGATAATAATTTTGAAACCTACAACAAGGAATGGATCATGTCATAGCACTTAGACATGATCTAAGAGACATTCTAGACATAGAACTTAGGAGGGAACACCTGGGCTAATGAGTGCTACAAATGTGCAGAAGTGTTGATACTCCCCTCATTGCTGCTACAGAGAAAGAGCCCTAACAGGCTGAATGCTGTTTAAATGGAAAAGCTTGACAGCGTGTGTTTGGGAACATAATTGCCTTCTGGCTCAGGATAACACTGTCAGGCAGTACCACCTCAGGGTACCAATGTAGGCTTTTGGGCTCAGTGGGAAACGTGATTCCAAAGTGCAGTATCACTTTCAGACTGGGAAAGAGCAGCTGTGACATATATAACCGAGCACAGTTACTACCAGACTGTGCTGAACAGAAGAGAAGACTCTAAGGCTATGCTGTGGCCTGAAAACTGCAGTTTGGTACAGTTCCATCCCAGCTATTTGGGGGACAAAAGCACTCTGATCAGCCATCCGATCCATTTACTTTTCTCTCTGATGTCTGTGACAGTAAATGTTTGAGAGAAGTCCCAAGAAATCCAGAACAAAATACTGAATGTGTCATGGTAAGCAATAGTACTTTTCTCCTCCTCTTGATTCTGAGGCTGT